GTATCCCACTCAGGGCAACAAGCAGCCCTGTGCCCAAAGATTTCCATTTTGTCATGCAATTGCTTACCTGGATCCCAATTTATCATAAACCTGGTGTCCTCGGCCTCAGAATGGGCGCCGGTGGGGGGCAGAACTAGCCTTCCCCCTTTGTCTGCAGACAACACCGTCCCAACCCTGGTCTTGCTCGCTCGCAGATGCGGCCATATACCCGAGCACACGGAATTCCCGGTAGAACGGAACCAGGCTGAGGTTCAACTACCAATAAACGCAGGAGGAACGAGTTCGTAGTCCCCGAGCTGGCTTCGCCTGTGCTGCGCGAAGGTCGGTCCGCCCGCCCGCCGGTCCACTCCCAGGCCCACAGTGGCGGCCACTCGCGCCCCCACCCACTCCTGGGTTCCTGCCCAGCCCTCCTAGGCCCCCCAGAGCTCGGGGTTTGTTTTGCTTTCGGAACGGGGTCGTTTCTGGATTTGGAGAGAGCCCTGGAAACCCCCTCATAGTCGGGAAATACAGACGCTGCCTTCAAATGCGAGCATATTTGTTCACGTGACCCCGAGGGAAGATTGTACTGATTGAGGCTGAAACTTTCACGCCATCCAGCCCCGGAGCGCAGCCAGGCCTGGGGGGTGGGAGGAGGGGCGTGGGAGGCGTGGGACCCGGGCGCCCTCCCAGGGACAGCCACGGGTGGGTGTGGGAACGAAGGAAAGCCTCCATCCCGCAGCCTGGGACCTACCCAGCCACAGCCTGGCCGTAGGAAGTGGGATGAGGGCTTGAAGAGTTCCCGCAGCGACCTCTGACCCTGGCCAGCCTTAGGCCACACTGGTCAGGGGGTTGGAAATTTTAGAGACTGCCTCTTAGGGGCGTCTCTAGGGAGGGCTGCGAAACTGTGAAACGGCAGCAATGTAGGGTTCCCCTAGATCCCTGGAGAAGCCCATACGGCTTGCATCGCATCGGCATGCACTGGGGTGAGGCACCTTCTCCTTTGCCTGAGAGCACGCCCCAGCTCTCCATCCCCAGCGAGACAGTTAAACTGTAGCACCATGCAGGCTCTGGGCTGAAGATGGGAGCCGCTGGCACTCAGTCTTAGCCGGTTACCCCACCACTCCTTGGGGCCTTGGCTCGGTCCTAAGGCTCTGCAGGGAAACCTCTGTTTCTTAGCTAGAAAAGGAGCCTAGCAGCCGGCCAGGACACTTTCCAAGCCCTTGTGTATCCCACTCGGGTCCTTCGAGGCCTGGAGCCTCCTAGGCACTGAGCTGCTGCCATGGGCGACCTGTGTCTCCAGATCTGTGCGGTGCCAACGGATCCCACAGGCCCAGCAACAGCCAGGCTGCCGTTTCCCGCTTCCTGCGGTGCCTCTAGGAAGTCGAGGGGGACTGCAGAATCAGTCCTGGGCAGGCTTACCTGGGGGACAAGGAAACTTCTATTTTAGAAATATTGAATCAGGACAGGATCACAACACTGTCCAAATGGTTGGGTGGGAATCCAGGTACCGATTCTTCATATGGGAGGAAGAATGAAGTACACCTGGGCCAGGGGCCAGCCTCAATCTCCTGGCTTGTAGCGAGCTCCCACAGACCTCCACCAGGCCAGCCCACACCCCAGAATCCCACACTAGGGAAACTCCCCACCCCATCCCTGAAGTCGGCCTTCAGCACCAGCTCCACTTCTCAGCTGCAAGAGGCCCGGAGGGAGCTGATGCCCTGTCGCTGTTTGCAAGGTAGTGTCCAAAAGATGAGCACGGGAAAGGGAATAAAGTCCTCCAAATCCCCACTCCAGAGGTTCGGGGAAGTCCTTGAGGACCTCAGGCTTGAGATGTCCGAAGGCTTGAGCCCCCAGAGCTGTCGCTGAGCCCTTCCTTTTGTTCACTTGTCCAGACCAGGACAGAAGCCCACTGGTGTCTCTCACAGCCAGACCTTGGGTGCCCCCACTGCACCCTCACCCCCAGGACCCCTCCTCCAAAGCCTCTCGCCAGGGGCCCAGCCTTCGGCCAGAGGCAAGTGTTAATCCTTAGCCAAAGAGGGGGGCTGCTTTGCGGGAATTTGTCTCCAGGAAAGGATCTAAGCCTTCTTCAATCGGAGCATATGTTCATAGAGCAATAAACCGGAAAGATTTACAGTCCTCGCCCGGCCCCCAACAGCCTCACACCCTTTTAGGAATTACTTACGATGATTTATCACACCAACCCGGGCAATTGTCACACTGATAAAATAGCCCGGGCCGGTGCCCGCCAAACCTGGGCCTTGGGCAGCTCTTGGCTACCGTGCTGCCAGTGGGGCTGGGGAAGCTTTTTGTGGGTTCCTCTCTTGGCCTACGAGGGGATGTCTGGGTGGGTTGAAGTGGGTGGGGGTGGGAGGAGAGCCCATTCTCATTGAGAAAAATCCAAGCAGCTCAGAGAAAGCGCCCGGAATCTGTGCCCGAGTCACTTGCTAAGCACATAAACATTTGTCATCTTTGAATAATTGAATTAATGTGTTATTGTTTGAATGTATAATTCATAACGGAGGAAACTTTGTTTCTGTCCTGACGGGGAAATATACACACACCAAAAAAGAAATGAAAACACACAATCCCAAAACAACTGCTTCTAGCAAGGCAGCCCCAGCTAAGGGTATCATCCTCAAAGCCAATGGAGGCGACTTGAAGTGACAGAGGGACGGAGACGAATAAAGAGGCACTCCTGGTCCTGGGCACCTGGCTGGGACCTGCAAGCTGGGGAGAGAGGGTCTGCGGCTACTCCCGGCCCAGGTCCCCAGCCAGCCAGGGGGTGGGTGGGGCAGCAGCTGAGTGGCTTTCAGGACGCCAAGTCTAGGAGCTCAGGTAAAAGGAGCTGAAGTGGAGCGACGAAGCCTGCAGCTGCCGGGCCTCCCTACCAGACCCCTCTCCCGGAGGCTCCCCGAGAGCCCGAGGCTCTCCTGCTAGGGGCAGCAGGGACACCTTCCTTTTGCTTTTATTTTTAGATCTTCAAAAAATAAAAATAAAATAAAAATACAAAAATAAGGTGGAAAGGGAGAAACTTGGCTGAGATGACAGAAGCAGCAGAGCTTGGGCGGGGAGGGAGGAGAATAGGAGAAGCAACTCGGAAATCATTATCTGTTGGTTAAAACCTGCCTGGGGTAAAATTTCAACTCGATTTTATAGCCTTCTATTATGACGCAAGGAAAAATTTATGACCCTCGTTTGAAAAGAGGGCCAGGGCCTTTTCTCGCCGGTGTAAGAATAGGCAGCAGATGCCGTGACAGCAACCATTGTTCCCGGTAGACACAGGCGACCGGGCAACCTCGGCCCGCGTGCGCCAGGCGTGTCCCCAGCCGGGCCGGTTTTTCACAACTCCTGTTGTCTAGGAGCAGGCTGCGCGGACCGAGCCCCTCACCCCTCGCACCCGAGCCCCTTGCACACCCTCTCATCCTCACGCACACGCCCTCCCTCTTTCTCTCACACACTCGGGCGCTCTCAGTAATTTTTCATAAGTGCAAAGCTTTGCTGAACCAAAGGTCACCATCCAAGCCACTAACAACTGCTCGTCGGCGCGCGGTTCCAAATCAGGAAGCAAAGGGGAACTATTTGTCAGCGACCCTGACAGCTAAGTTCATTAAGGATTTAAATCCGATGAAATAAAAGTCGCCAAAATATTTACCTGCCGGCCGCGCTCCCCGCGCCCGCCGCCGGGGGCTGGGGTGGAGGCCGGGGCGCTGCGCGGCCCCCCTCGGCGGGCGGGCGAAATTCTCGGGATCCCTGCACTTTCCAAGTCGGAGAGAGCCCTTTGCGTGGCAGATTAATGACGACTCCTTGTTTCTTAAGGGACGTGCTGAATTAATTATTTCGCCAATCACGTGGTCGGGACTTGTAGAAATCTATTCTTATCATCTTCCTCGCACTTTGAAAATTCTCCGGGTTATGAAAGGCCCTCCTCCCCCGGCTGCCGGCGAGCCCCGGCCGCCCAGCCCGGCGCGGGGGGCAGGGAGGGCTCCCCAACATGGCGGGCGGGCGGGCGGGCGAGCGGGAAGCGCGGCTGCTGCTTGCCTGGCCTGCCTGCCTGGCCTGCGGAGCGGCCGATTCTCTACTGTACTCAGCGGGCTCGGCTGTGGACTCGCTTTCTCCTCATCCCTGCCCGCGATTCAATACACACCGCGGTATTGATGTATTGGTGGGCACAGGAGGAGCCATTAACCAGAAGACGGGCAGAGGACAATCATAAAATGTGTCTGAATATTTAAACTTCTGTCTACGCATTTATAAATACACATGTCCACGCGTCTGGAGCGAGCCCTTCCATATATTAAGGACACATGTCTGATTTTACGCATTCTGCTCATTTCCTGTCTCGAGCAAACCCTCCATCTACTTTGGGACTCCTGTCTTGGCCCCCCTCTTCAAGGCTGAGGCCAAGATGTGAGAAAAGCCCTGGAGATAAAAATAGTGCAGGGTACTTTTTATAGTGGGGGAGTGTTTATTGTTGTCTGAGGGGCGGAGGGGTGCTGGAAAGGGGGGCAGGTGCTAGAGGCCCCTGTGGGGCTGAACAGCATAGGAAAAGTAGAAGGAGCCCAAGATTGGAGGCCAGCCGGAGTCAGGCCAGAGCAGCCACCAGCCAGCCTCAGCTCGGCCCAGAACCAGCGCCTCTCCCCGGTGTGGGGGGGAGCAGGAAGGTTTCTCATACAACAAATCACCAAGACCTCCTCTGAGGGGTCTTGACTGAAGGGGTCTAGGGTTGGACAGGGCCAAGCAGAAAGCCAATATAGAGGCCCCTGTTAGCCCACGCAGTTACTTCTTTTTCTCTCAACAAATAATGCCCACCCTGTGCAGCCTGACTCCAACCCCAGGTTTCCCAGTGCTCTCAGAATACAGTAGCCAAACTGGGCATGTGTGTATATGGGAGAGGAGGTGCTAAGAAAATTGCTAAGCCTTGCACCGGTTTAAGCTTCACACCTTAGGCACCAAATAAATCGGTGACTAATTTATTGTAGAAAATAACAAAGAATGTTTCTGTCAAGGCATCAAACAGGAGGGAGATTTTACTACACTTTTTTATTATTTCAAATATAGATCAATGAATTACATCAAAACTACAAGCAACAATTAGTATAAATAATACTTTAATCAGTGGCAGCAAAACATTGGTCAATTCTATTTTAAAAAAGCATCTCATGAACAGACTCCACGGGGCTGACTGACAATGTCATCTCACAACAAAAGACTGCAAGGGACAAAGTGAGATGGGGGTTGGAGGAGCCAGGTCCTCAGCAAACACTTCATGGCCCCCCAGCCAGGACCCCAACACAGGCTTAAAAAAAAAACCCACCAGCAAAGCAAACACTTCTGGCTCATATTTGGGGGAACAAACTGGAAACAAATAATAGCAAATGGGGACTGGACCCTTCCCACGTCTAGCTTTCTGAAGAGCACGTTCCCAGATGGAAACTCATTTCTGTCCCTGCCCAAGGTGGTTGCAGGGCCCAGTCCCTGGTCTGGCCCACTTCTGAGGGCCCAAAAGGATACTACCTTCGGAGAGAACTTCAGGGTTGGAGGCTGCCCTCGGGGCCTCCAGGCTCCATTAACATTTCAAAAGACAATCCCTCAAAGCAGAGGAGGAGAGCTCAGTCTTATAAACAAAGAAGTTGTTTCTCTCATTAAATTACTTTTCAAAGTAGTGGGACTTTGTTAGGAGGAGCTGGGGTTCTATCCTGGAAAACCTACCTCTCTCTTGGCTTTCCTTAGGGGCAGGAGTGAAGGCAGGTAAGCAGTGTGGCATTTGATCTGAACCTGGGTGAGTAACCAGAACTTCTCATGACAGAGAAAATCTATGTAATAATCTCCAGTAATATCTATATACTTAGATATTATAAAAATATACACCTTTTTCCTTTCCGAAGAAGCTGCTGCACTGTGTATAGATTTGGGTTTTAGGAAAGAATCTTAGCAACTTTCCAAGTTGCCTAAGGATAGTGGCTCTTTTCAAATGCTAGCTACATCCAAAGACTGCTCTCCATGTTACAGGGGGGAGAAAAGAAGAGAACGGTAGTTAAGAGTCCAAAAGGTTAAGGGTTTAGAGGTCAGTCCTCCTGGCTGAAATACAGCTAATGGAATAGAAAATTTGTCCTCTGGATGAACCTGATTCTGTAATTTAGCCGAACTTCAGTAAAATACCTTTTCAGCTTCTCAACGTGAGGGCGTCAGAAAAAAGACATCTTGACTATGTATGAACTCTGTGCTTTTTGTCATAGAAACAATGATGTGAATAATGCAGGAATATCCATCTTTAATATCCCGACGTGGCCATATTCAAGTATTGCCATGTGCAAGTCTGAGAGCCAGGCTCACCCCAAGGAGGAACAAAGAGCTGTCCCCAGGGTCTAATACAAAAGACCAAGGCTTGGAAGATACTTTAGAGAAGCGGAATTTCAGCCTAGGGACTCCAGTGAATACCTGCCCTTAGCTCTCAGGAGACAGAACCAAAGAACATGCCTGCAGAGAAAGTCACCCTCCCTTTTCCACTTAAGTATATTTTAAAGATTATCATTGAAACCTTCTAAAGTGGCCTGAAGCACTGAAAAAATAACATTATAGAACTTAGAATTAAGTTTTCAGTTTAGCCCTTCTCCCTTCTCTCTTTTGTCACTTTTCAGTAGCTGGAAACAGATTTCTTTCTTGGAGCCTGAGGTTTTAGTCTTCAAACTTAGGAAGAAGACTTGTTTCATTTGAGTATATGAACTCTGGCGGTTCTCTTTTCCCCTGATCCTTCAGGGTCGGCATTTCACAAAAATGAGCTTTGAACTCTTCCCAGACATAGAATAAGAAAAATGACTAAAAACATCTCTCTTCTTGTTTGAGTGTTTTTAAACCACTATTCTAAAGGCAAAGAAGGAGGCCTGAAAACTTTAATACTTTTACAATTTCTGCTTCTAATTAATGGTTTGAGAAAAACTTCCTTAGGTATTTTTTTCAAATTAAAACTTCAAGGGGGAAGAAAACCCTACCAACTTTTGTGTACTTTTAGATTCAATTAGTTTCTTTTTAAAAACAAGATTGTTTCACCTACCCACTTTCACCCCTTGCACAGCTCCTCTCCTATATAAGCATACACTGATTCCTACAAAATACTTCTATGTGGGATATTTGGGACATTTGGAATCCAGTTGGAACAGAAAACTCAGTCATTATCTGACGACCCAGAGCATAGAGGTTTTGTTTTCTTTCCACAGAAGGAACATGTTGGACCATTTGTTTCTTTTTTGCCCTTTCCTTTAATCACCCAGAACTGGTTGTAAGCACAGTGTTGAAAAAATCACATGTGGAATTATATTTTCAAGAACTCAACTTTGAGTGGATCCTTCGCATCTCTCTAAAAGGGTTAAAGGCCCCCTACACATATTTCCAGGGAGTTGGGAGGGGGTGGAGTTCAAAATGCAGGTTACAGCCAGAAGTAAGTCTACACATCTAATTCAGTTCCCTGAAGCTCAGCCCCTTCCACCATCTTAAGATTTTTGGCATGAAGGTGTTAGTTATTTCTGCACCCAATCCCCCAACAAATAAATACTTAAGCAAATATAATCTAAACATAAAACAACCCGTTTTCACTTCCTTCTTAAACTTATTTCTTTGGGCATCGGGCTACTGTGAGCAAAACTTTTTTTTAATATAAATTACACTGGAAATTATACAGACAACCCAGAAATTCAGAAATCTTGGCCCAGCTCTGCAGCTCCCATGAGCACCTATCACAGTGGTGGCCAATCTTCTGCCTCAACTCCCCCACATTACCAAACCACAAAACTCCCTGGAGGGGTGGAGTGGGGAGAATGTCCCAATTCACACTGGGATAAAGCATCCAACCTTCATTTGCAAATTCAAAATCCAACAGCAGAGATTTTCATGAGTTTAATGACTGGCCACGGTTTTAGGTTCTCAGTAGCTCCTGCCATATGATAACATACTTAGAGAATCCCGCCCACCCCTCCCACCCCCGGCTCCACTCTAGGGAGGGGGCTGCCCTCGGGCAGGATGCTAACCTAGTCCAGGGCCGCCTTCAGGGCCCAGGTCCACCCCACAGTACCTTAGAGCCCAGCGAGGTCACAGCAGGCCCGGCCTGCCCCCGCAGCTTCGGCTCAGCCTGGAGCGCAGGGAGGGATGGGCCCAGGGTCCCCACTTCTACAAGGTCGTCAGGTCCATGTGGTGATCCTTGGTCATCGGCTGCAAATGCTGGCCAGGGGCGGCTGAGGAGGAGCAGGAGGAGGAGGAGGAAGATGACGATGATGACCTGCCTTTAGTATTGGGCAGCTTGTGGTCTTTTTTCCACTTCATCCTCCGGTTCTGGAACCAGATCTTGATCTGGCGCTCGGACAGACACAGAGTGTGAGCAATTTCAATCCGACGGCGCCGCGTCAGATACCTGTTAAAATGAAATTCCTTTTCCAGTTCTAGGACTTGCTGCCGAGTGTAGGCCGTCCGGGAACGCTTGGGCTCCCCGCCGGTGTAGTTGGGGTTCACTGTGAAACAAAACAGATGGCACAGCCAGGTCAGCACCCAGCCACTAGTTAGGCCCCTCGCCTGTGCTGCTCACTTCCTGGCGCGCCCCAAGGCCCTCGGCGCCTCCCAAGCTCCCTGGCTTCCTCCCTCCCACCCTCAGCCTGGCGCACACTCTCACTCCCACCCACCCCCTTACTCCCATCTACGCCCCCAGGCTCGCAGCACAGGATCCCCAAATGTGCTCCCTTCTCCCGGGGCCACCGGGAGCTCCGGTGTCCCTAAGCATTTTGGAAATACCCCTCTCCTTCTCTGCATTCCCTCCGCTCTGCAAATGGTGTCCTCCCCCAACCCACCCCCATCCCCACCCCCTTTTGCGCCCACAGCAAAGCAGCCAGCCACATGGTCCCGGCCTGCTCCCTCAACTATAAAAATTTATGGGGAGAGTAATTGCAGCCCCAGGGAAGCTCCAATGCCCCCACCCTCTCGTATCGCCCCTCCCGGGGCCCCTGGGCAGCAGATTGGAGGTGAGCTCGAGAGGTGGCCGGCGCCGCGCCTTACCCGAGTTCACGTGCACCTTCTTCATCCAGGGGTAGACCACCGCCGGCTGCTTGAGTGCGGTCCCGGGGGGCGGCTGCTTGGGGCCGCCGGGCTGGCTGCAGGCCCGAGCGCCTGGCAGGGGCGCAGGCGGGGGCGCTGGGCACGGCTCTCCCGGGGCGCCGTAGTGCCCGCCGGGGCCGCTAGCCTCTTGTCCCGGCCCCCGAGCGGGCAGTGCCGAGCCAGGCCCGGGCCCGCCGCCTCCGAAGGGCTGCTCCCCGAAGTCGGGCCGCGGGTAGAGCCCCGGGGGCTGGAAGTCGGCCCCCTGTGAGCCGCTGCTGTAGTAGTCTGCGCCCTGCTCGCCTAGGTAGCTGCCCTGCAAATATTCCTCGCACGGAGGAAACTTGGGGTCCACATACTTAGAGTTCACCATATACGAACTCATGGCCATTAATTTCAGAAGGTAGAAAATACTAATTTTTCTCGTGTTGTCTTTTTTTCTCCTTCCATAGGGCCCTCCTACTTGCTGTCAACTGAATAAAGTTGGGCGGCCATGTGACCAGGCCAGCCAATGGGGAGGGAGCGAGTTTATCACCGGTTTGGTGAGCATCTCATAATTTTCACAAATTTAACTAAATAACATACGTGTAATCAAATGACTTGCCGTGCCATATTTGAGGGCCCCTGCCAGATGTTAATGTAGTTCCGATCGCCATCACCCCTATTTTCAGCAGGTAATCTCAGCTTTTGTCTCCACTGACTTTTCCTAACCTCTCCTGCCCTCTTCACTCACCCCAGTACTCCCCCCAAGGTGGGCACAGTGCAAGGGAGAATGAATTCTTTTATTGGGTGCAAGGCAACAAAAGGTGGGTGGACGAGGTGGCCTCTCAGTTGGGCAGAGTGCCCCAGGCGGGCACTTTGCCTGCCCAGCCCGCCAGAGCTGGGACTCTGCCATACAAAGACTGAGTCCTGCTTTGTCTTCATCAGGGTCACCCAAAAGTTACCAGAATCTGGCGGGCCTGAATTAAGTTAGGCAATGAGTAACCACCATGCTTTTCTACAGGTGCCCAGGCTGGGATGTTGCTAGCCAAAGCTGGGCCTTTCTGACATGGCAGCAACCATGGATGCCCAGGTTCTTGCAGCTGAGGGTTGGGCCCAGAAAATGGTGAGGGAACACTCGCCTCACCTAAATGCCCCCCAAAGGTGCCTACTGGCCTTTTTTCCCAGCTTGCTTTTGCCCCCACACAAGGTCCCTAAAACCCAGTTAGTCCCCGTTTGGGTATATTTATATCTCATACCCAGAGGAGGGCAGAGCAATAGCTGGAACTAGCTGATCATTTGCTCCACTCCCCAGCACCCCAAAACCTAACCCTTTTGGACCAGTATTCATGCAACCAGTTAGGGTTTCTTTTTGCAGCAGCCCCCACTGAAGCCTCTATGTAAAGGTGAGGTGCTTTTTGAGGAAAAAGCTGCACAATGTCACCAGGGACAGTCGATCTTCGTGGAACAGAAAGAGGTGGCTGACCCACACCAGGGTCTCCACCTCCATCTCTTGCTATTTTGGAGAAATGTGAAGTTTTTGCATCGACCATATATTCCCCTAGAATCGAATCTGTGACTATGTGGATACCACACAAATTCGGTTCTACAGGGTATATATAGACAACGTTACAACCTTTGGGTCCTACCAAAGGCAGATACTCAGACTGCTGCCAGCCCTAGACTCTTCCTCTGAACCACCACCAGCCCGACGCAGCCACCCACGATTTCAGGGACAGTTCAGGTAGTCTGACAAGCTTGGTGACAATTTGCACCAAAGAGTTCCCTCATTCTCGGGAGGACTGGGGTTACAGAGCAGCTGAGCAGTGGCCAGCACATTCTTAAGAAAGAAAAGAAGAGAAAAAATCCATCCTAGAGATGGCGGCTTTATTACTCCTCTCTCGGGATCCAAAAACCCTCCCCCTTTATCAAGTGGTATTTTCCAAAAAGCAGCAAATGCCCTCATCAACAGAAGAAAAAGAGGCAAGAGGGAAATATCCTTTGCCTATTTTTTTTTCCACTGCCTGACCAAGCCAGATTGGTGCCCAAGCTAGTTCTCCAAGAAGTCATGCATTTACCTTCCTGGGCCCTCAGCCCGGCCGGCCTGTCGGTGTCCCCTCGGCTTCTACTGCAGACCCTGAGGCAGGCGCTGCTCCCAGGCACCAAGCCGCCCTGGTCTGAGGCCAGCGCACTAATGGTGAAGGGCAGGGCGTGGGGTCATTTGAAATCATTTACAAACATATCACAAAGTTTCATTATTTTTGCTTTGCCGACAGCAGCACACAAGAGTACAAAAGTTCACCAATTTTGCCCGCCCCAGCGCCTCTGTGCTTTCCAAGGCTTGCTCCTCAGTTCAGGGCATCCAGGGCGCAGCCGCACTCAGGGACCAGACAGATTTCAGGAGCAGAGGGATACCCTGGCTTGAGTGGGGCTTTTTGGATGCCTGATAGCAGGCCACAGATGTCCAGTTTTTAAAATATTGTTTTGATTTTCCTGTTCCCCATAATTCAAAAATCAGTTTCAAGTGGGACCTGGGTCTGGTGGGGGTGGGGCAGGAAGGCTACCCCCACCAAATCTGCAAAGTTAGCAACTTGCTTCTCTTCCAAGAACCCACATTTTCCCCTCAATCCTTTGGTTCCACTGATTTAACTATTTGCAGGGATTTCCTGGGTACCAATTCAAAAAGGGCTCTAAGTCTAGCAAATCTGTTTGTCCCAGAATAACCTCCTCAGTTTCCTCTAATGTCCAGTGTTTTCCCCACTTACCTTTCTGCGGACACTGGGCCTACCTAGGCTTTATCCATACAAATTGGGGGAGCCTGGTGGGCTGGGTGGGGACCCGAGCGAGTGTACACATTTTCATATTTGTTAGACGCTGTGACCTGCATTTCACCTTATTGCTCCACTTGTTCAGACAGGTCAAAGCCAACGAGTTATTGATGAACAAAAGCGTTAAATATTCACCTCCCTCTCAACTGCCCATACGAATGCTTTTGATCTCTCAGGCTTTTTGTGCCCTGTTCAGCTACAAGGCGCCAAATGCGAGTTTGTAAGCAAGCAGCCTCAGCAGAGATAAGCACCCAGAGTCAAGGAAGCAGGAAAAGGGGGACCAGCATAGGGGGTCCTGGGGAAACCAGATTCTCAGCCTGGAGCCTAGAGCCTGGTTCACAGAGGGGCTCTCAATCTCTATCGGTGAGCACAGCCCCCAGAGGGTCCACTAGGCTACCCAGCCTAGCAGGGCAAGGAAACCTGGCCCTGAGCCCACTCCCAGCTTCTCCAACTACGAAGAGAGGGTGTCTCACAAGCGAGGGAGACTGTCTAGTTCCTGCAGCCCTGCACGACCTGTCTTCCATTAAAATACGATCACCTCCGTTTTGTAGCAAGAGAGGGGCCATTCGGTTTTTTGCCTTGACTCTCCCCCCACAACCACCGTCCTAATGACATGGTCCTCCATCTCCAAAGGGTTCCTCAGAAAGGTACCTGGTCTTCCGGAAGTATAGGCAACTCAGAAAAATCCAAACTTGGGAGCTAAGGAATCCAAGAGTGGCTGGTCCCGCCCCACTCCACCCCACTGTGCTTCCTTATGGCAACACGGACTCTGACGCAGAAATTCTGAAATTGCACGGAGGAGGAGAGGTGAACGAGGAGAGGAGGAGGACTGTATCCTTCTCACACTGCTCTGCCAGGTCCCAAACCCAGGGCCCACACCAGTGAAGCTGGGGCCAGGGGAGGGGCAGCAGGGACATTCTCCTGAAGCTCAGACTTCGAAGCCCCTCCCGGAAAACGGGCCAATCCAACAGAGCGAGGCCACTGAGGGTTAAGTTTTTGCTTTTAATAAATGAGTTAAAAGAGCTGGGGAGGGGGGGGGAAGCCACAGGAGAAGGTTAGGCTAAACTGGGCCGGGTTAAGCCGGGATGGGTTTCAGAGGGGGTCGCGTTGCCCGTGTCTACTGTGTTGATTAGAGCAGGACCGGATGCGATGCTAGCTGCAACTCGTGCTTAGGGTGGGCTGCTAATGAGCTGCAAGCTCCTCACAGAGGCGAGAGCTCCAGCGGCGCTGCACCTGTGCGAGCTGGCGGGGTCTGGGGAGGCCGCATAGGTCCAAGGAGGCCCAGGAGAACAAGGGTGAGACCCCGACACCTTCCTTTAGGCAGGTGACTGTGAACTAGGCCCCAGGAACGCCACCTGGGAGTTCAATTTCGAGCCTCCACCTCCCCCAGCGGGCTCTCGATGGTCAGGTTGGGGAGGCAAGGCCGCTCTCCACCCACGCTCTCCACCCACGTAGCCCTCGCCCTCGCCCACCACCTCCGGGGAGGAGACCCGCCTCTCTATTCGATATTCTATTCGGAAGAAACGGGAAGGTACTTACTGCGGCGCTCTCTCATGGTCCCAAACCTGTTGCAATGAAAAAGGAGGTCACTTAATTTTTACAGGATAATATAGCAGCAATAGATGACACAGGAAAATGCAAGGCCCAGTCACCTCACCAATACCCCGACCTCCCTGCTCCAGGCGCCTGCTTCCCGGGGAACTGTGCAAAGTTCTCCATGGACTGCAGTTCTCCAGGGCAGACCCACCGCAGCACCAGAGTTCTGTGCCCAGCACCTCCTCCACAGCACGCACCCTTAGGTAAAACCCTCCTGGGTTGTTTGGTCCAGCTCTGATCGACTGTAACAGGGTTTCCCCAGTGGGAAACCGGGAGAGGAGGAGAAAATGGGCCTTTGTGTGTTTCTTTCTGCATAATCGGTTGGGGTTGGGTGGGGGTGCAGGTGGTCCATCTGTCCCCTTCCCCAGCTCCCCTGTCTCTCTAGCTCTAGGAGCGACTCAGCTTCCTTTTCCCGTTTCAGATTGGTTTCAAATTCCTCAGTCCCAACCAGTGACCCCCCTCAAAACCTGCCTTCTCCTCTTCCCAAAAGAAAGATCAGGCATAGCTGGGACTTGCTTTCCACTTCTCCAATTCAAAACAAAGACCAATTTCCAGGGGTAAATGAGGACCCAAAGGATAACCAAGGAGGAGGAAAATCAATGAGTTTAAGGGTAAATGACAATGCTTTAGACCCTTATCTAGCTCCAGGGGTAGGACACCCATTTTTCAGCATTGCTGCAGGAGAGCCCACAGACCAATCTTACAAACTAGTGGTCCTCCCAGAGGTGAGTATCCAGCTTTAAGTTTTTAGTGTTCTCCAGTTTTATTGAAGGATAGCAATGTTTCTGAGAAATCTCAGGGGCAAAGCCATCTCTACACTCCTCCTCCTCCCACCTCCACTGTTTTATTCCACTTCTGAAGTGATGCTCTATAATGCAGACGAAAGAGAGAGCCCCTCTTGTGAGATGGAAGCCCTCAATTCCTAACTTCCCAGGTCCAGAAGAGAGGGGAAGGAAACCAGTATTCCCATTCTAGGTATTAATTTAGATTCAGTCCGAAATTGGAAATAACTTCGATGGTGCTTCCCCAAAAAGAAAAGTCAAGGCAGAGAAAATCCCCACCTTTGGAGCTGTCGAAGAAAAAGTAATCAGTGACTTACTGTTTTTCTTTCCTAGTGGGCAGGGGAGCTAGGAGTAGAACTGTCTTCTCTGTGCCGGGCGGGTGCTGGCTGGAGCCTCTCACTTTCCTATCGCTGCTCCAGGAACCAAGCATCTGCACTTGTATGCTCTTAACCTAATTTATGGTGGGAATTATATTTTGGCTTGTCAACTCTCAAGCCATAAAACAAAGTTTATTGGAATCACGTGCTCGTAAATAGCCACTCAGGTCTCATCTCTGCAGAACCATAAATAACCTTTGGCTTTAAACTTTTATTCACTAAATAAAGGTTCACTGCAACTGTTCCCTCAGATTTAAATAGTTCCAGATATCCAGAATGCAAGGGAGGTCATATTCATATCAATACCCCAGGCTTTTCAAATAGCATCTTTTCAGAGAAGCCTGCTTAAATTGGGAGATAGTGCTATTTGAAAAAGGCTGGTTGGTGGGCATGTCTTATGATTCTTTGGCTGTATTCGCTGTGAGTACCATCATCTCCTTTATTTCAATCTCTTCTGGCTTTATAATGTGATAAGGAAGAAAGTCCAAGGCCACTTCTTGATTATGCCACAAGTTGGGACTTATTTGAGATTTTGTGCAAGTTTCTATAGAATATGTGCTGCCGAAGCGAGCACTGCAAGTTTCTATAGAGAGAGTGGTTAGGGAGAGGCTGGGTGGGATGGGGGTGGGGTGGCAGTTGGAATTAACAGTTGGCTTGCTCTGTATTGTTGTGGATGGGCTTGGTGCAAGTTGAAGATAGCCACAGGACTAGAGGTTTCTATAATTTGCTTAGATCTGAAAGAGACATCTTTGCAAGTGACCAAACTGCTTAAAACAGCAAGACTTGGGGTCTGGTGAAGTGAGAAAGTGGAGAATAGCCCCATCGGAATCTCTGGCAACTGAAGCTCTAAAGAAGGTTATAAAACAATAAAACAGATCGGGTGTGAGGAGGCAAGGGAGGCTCTCCAGGAACCCAAGCCCAGGAAGTCAGCTGTTCACTCCCACCGTGGCCCCAGCCCTGGGCTCAGGGCTTGCAAGTCCCTGAGGGCCCAAATCTGGGTGGGTCCCCAGGAGAGCTCCCTCAGGGCCAGCTGCCTGCTGAGAACCCAGAAAAGGCTCTTGGGCCCAGTACAGCTCAACAGTAAAATGTGCTTGGGGCGGAGGGTGAGGTGGGGGCAGGGAAGCTGCTCCCAGCTCCCAGGGAGGAGCAAAAATAAAGACAGTTCACCTCCCAGAATCTTTCAGTGGTTCACCAGAGTTGCCACCAAACAGTGTGAAAATGTGATTTGGACTGCTGCAAAATAATGAATTTTCTGTGTTGATTTGTAGAGTCCACACACACACTCACACGTGATTTCCAAATCAAATTCAGTTGTAACAGTCCCATCAGAAAGTCCCACCAACCCCATCAAAGAGGTCCCTCTGTACAAAAATCTCTGCCTCCTAATTTCCACCCCATTCCACGTACATTTCCAAACCCATTGCTTAATTGGACCCTTACTAGCTAGAAAAAT